AAAAATGATTTTTAGTTTGTTTTCTGCTTCTCATTCTTCGGTTTCTCTTTTCTTGCCTTTCCACGGGTTACCTGAACATTTTTTAGAATTCCAACTTGAAATATGCACCCCTACGTTCATTGCAGCCTTATTCACAATAGCCAAGACTTGGAAGCAACCTAGGTGCCCATCAAGGAACGAACGGATAAACACAATGGAATACGACTCAGCCATAAGAAATGATGAAATTTGGCCATTTGTAACAACGTGGATGGATCTTGAGGGTATTATGCTAAGCGAAATAAGTCAGAGGGAGAAAGTGAAATACCCTATGATCTCACTCATGAATAGAAGATAAAAACAGCAACAAACACGCACATAGAGACAGACACTGGATTGGTGCAGGGGGAGGGTGGAGGGGGAAAGAGGTGATCAGGCACATGAGTGTGGTGATGGATCTAATTAGTCTTTGGGTGGTGAACAGATGTAATCTACACAGGAATCAAAATATAATGATGTACACCTGAAATTTATTTAATGTTATAAACCAATGTTTTATATTTAATATATTTATGTTTAATATATTTAATATATTTATATTTAATATTTAATATATTTAATGTTATAACTGCAATAAAAAAAGAAAAAGATCCACTTTGAGGGTTATCTACACATAGTTTCATAACAAAAGATAATTCTAAAAACCTTCCAAAGAGGAAACAGGAAAGAAATATGCAAGAAACGATAAAAAGCCTGGCATTTGAGAGAAAATCCATATCCTAAATGGAAAGACTCAATTGTTAAGGCAGCTATCCAGGAGTTTACCTACAACTTTAACTGCAAGCACAATCAAACTGGTGATACTAAAAATCATATGGAGTTGAAAATGTACAAACATGCATAATGTAACCTTTGAAAACAAGGGAATTTTTCCTACCAGATGAAAAAGTTAAATATCTAAATGTAATATGGAATTCATTAATTTTCTACAGATAAGTATGTATAAAAATCACTTATTACCTAAATGTATTATTTTGGAAATACATTCTTCAACTCTATCATAAAATAAATTATTCAAACTCTTTGAAAAAAAAGAATTCCACCTTGACTTATTCCACTGTTTTGGAGTAAATCACTTTCTATAGTTTTTTTAGTGGTTGCTCTAGATATAAAATATACAGACATAAGTTGGTCAGGGAAATGCAGAAACCCAACTTCCATTTATGCCCCTTTGCCTCCACTTCTTAAACACAGCCGTCCTAACTCCTTCTCCTACGTGCACGGAGCACCACTGCAAATGGTGCTGTTTTTGCTTCAACCATCACCTATGATTCAAGAAACTCATCAGTAGGATAGTCTATTTTATTTATCCCTATTTTTACCCACTCTGATGTTTTTTTCTTTCTATAGTTCCAAGCCTTTTTCTGTTATCACTTACTCTGTTTAGAGTATTTCCTTTAATTACTCTCTAAGGGGAGCTTTGCTAGCAGTAAACACTTGTAGTTATCCTTTGTCTGAGAATGTCCCTATTTCCCTTTTATTCTTGAATGATCTTTCCTCTTTGTAGAATTCATGGTCGACAGTTCCTTCTCTTCCCACTTCCTCCGGCTTCTCTGGTTCAGGTGAGTGGGGTGGGTTCTCGTGGGGGTTTGGTTGGAATAAGGTGGGTGGTACCAGAAGTGCTCTGCGTTAGCCACTCTTTTCCCCGCTTTGACTTTTCTCAGAACTTGTTCGGTCTGTGTGTGTCGCTGTTTCTGGCTTGCGAGCGTCTCCAATACCTTAGCCGAGCGACATGGGAGGAGATGAGGAAGACGCGGATTTACCACCACGGTGCTCCTCAGCCCTCTAGTCCTGGGGCAGTTGGCCGTCCTCTTTCCACATTTCATTCTCCCGATGCTTGTTTCCTGTGTTATGTCCAGGGGCTTTCAGCTGTAAGAGGGATGACCTGGGAGGATTGGGGCTGTTCCGTTTTGGCTCAAATCCCAGATACAGAGTTATTCCGACATTTTATTATGAAAATTTTTAAACACAAAGGAAAGTTGAAAGAATTTTACAGTGAAAACCTGTATACCATCACTTAGGTTCAATCGTTATTGCAGTTATTACCGATATATTACTAAATTCATTTTATTGTGGTTCTTAATAGTTAAAATTGGAAACAACACAAATGTCCATCTACAGTAATAGCAGGTAAAGCTACATGCAATGAGGATGAATCTGACAAACTATTTGGAGAACAAAGCACACAAAGATACGGCTGGATGATTCTATTATATACAGTTAAAAACAGGTAAAACTACTGCATAAGGATGCACAAATGGGTGGTAAAACTATAAAGAACAGCAAAAATCTGTCTGAAAAGTCATGACAGTAGCTGTGATCACAAAGGAGTACTGACTGCCAGAGAGGGTCTACTTCTTGGCTTGGGTGGGTGTTTACAGGGGTGTTCTCTTTATCATCACTGTCAAGCTGAATTATACGTTCTAATTGGCTTTGTGTATGTATATTTCACACTTTGTAAAATAGGAGAAACAGGATTCTATTTGTTTCATACACACAAATGTGAGGATGCACACACAACAGCATATATGAATAGATGTAATCAGTGTTTCCACTGGACTTGTTTCTTTATTACACGTTTCTTCATTCCATATAGTGCGTGTGTAAAAATTTTAGAATGAATGCACTATTTTCATTGGGTAAACAAGAAAGCACTTTTCTCTTTTGAAAAAACTATGCATCTACTTCAAAATGATACCAAAATCTTGAACATTTCAACACAAACTGGTCCCAGTACCTATATAAAGCAATTAACATCAGAAAATATCTAAACGGTTCAATAAACACAGGACGTCATACAGTCATGCGCTGCACGTTTCAGTCGACGATGGACGGCACATACAACAGTGGCCCCGTGAGATTAGCACCAGGAGCCCGGGCGCACAGCAGGCTGTACATCTATGATGGTCACACAATGAGGAAATCACCCAACGGCACATTTTTCAGAACGTATTCCCGTCCTTACGCGATGCATGTCTGTATTTAATTTCACAAGTATTCAAAATTCGATATAAAAAACTGCTCTATTAAATAAACATTTTTAAAAAAACCATTAAGAAGAAAACTCCCAGAGTGGGCACGGGCGCTAGGCACATACTGTCACAAACTGCGTATGGAAACATAAGCTGTACAATCTGCCAGGAAGGCGAGGGGACAGGGTGCTCAGAACCCCACCAGCCCTTGACCCAGCAGTTCGACTTCAAGGAACGTAAGCTAAGAAAATAACCCTCAAAGATGTAGCTACAAGGCTAGTAAGGGAGCAAAAAACTGGACATAACACAACAATAGAGCTTTATTTAAGTACATTTAACTAAGCTCAGTTTAGTTAAATGTGTTTAACTAAAAAATTTAATTAGATGCAATGGAACGCACTGAAGCCACTGAAAACACTACTGACGGGGAACATTTACTGGCAAATGCAAATGTTCAAGGCGTATTCTTAAGTGGGGGAAAAACCAGCACGGGTTACAAGTGATGTCTGCAATATTCCATTTTGTTAAAATGGGAGCGGCAACGATTGATCAATACGGAGTTCAACGGGCTGTTTAAAGAACAAACTGGGACCACTTATTTTTGTGTGGTGGCGTAAAGTGCATTTTCCTTTCACTTTTCTGTATTTATCAAGCCTTCTAAATGGGGCACGTGTTCCTCTAGTGAGAAACACGGAGGAGAACGCTCTGCAGTCCGCCCAGGTCCGGGATCGCCCCGCGCCGCCCGGGATCTGCCCTCCGGCTCCCGCCTCCCGCCCCAAGCGGCCCGGGCCCCACGAGCCTGCTCCCCTCCTCGTCTCCCACACGCCTGTCTTCTCAGCCGTCGCACAGGCACGTCCGTGGCTTATTCTCCGCTCCCGCCGCCCAGAAAGGTGTCGAGGGCGATGACCTTTGTTTCGTTCACTGACCTACTTCCGACCGCGCACGACGGCGCTCGGCACGCGGCGGGCACTCAGCACGCCTGCTGAACGACTGAAGGGGAAACAGGCTCGTTCCCGGCGGCCGCCCACCCGCCTGCCTACCACTTCCGCAGACGCGCTCCCACGACACCCTTCCGTTTCCTTCTCGAGGAACCAGGAAGCGCGCGCTCAGCATCTCAGAGAACGCGCCCGCCAGCCCGGAAGCGGGAGCCGGGCACGAGATCGGCTAAACGGGGCCGCGCCGCGCAGGCCACGCGGGGAACTACACTCCCCAGAATCCCCGGTCCTCTCGTGGACTACACTTCCCAGAGGCGTTGGCGGCCGGCCGGCCCTCACTCGCCCCTGCCCCGCCCCTCTGGGCTCTGCGCGGGGCGCAGGTCGTTTGCCGCGGGAGCGAGCGCCTCCGGGGACCGAGGTCCCGCAGGCGTCGCCCGGGGGGAATCCCGACCCGAGGCTGCTGTCGGCCGGGCGGTCCCGGAGCCCCCGCGGCCGAGCGTGGACGGGGAGGCACGGGCCCCGGAAGCGCCGAGCCTGGGCGAGGTGAGCGGCGGAGGGCGGCGGACGCGGGCGGACGGCCCGGGGCTCGGGGCTCGGTGCTCGGGGCTGCGGCTGCGGCCCTTTCCGGAGCCGAGTTCTCGGAATCCGGAGTCTGACTCCTTGCCGGAGGGCGCGGGCGGCGCGGAGACGAGTTGTGCCCGGGATGGCGTGAGGTCCGGAGCGCGGTGCCCCCGCGCCGGCGTGTGCCCTCGGACCTGCTCTGGAGGCGGGGTGCTGGCACTGCCGGCCGCGCTGCGGGGCCGCCGGTGTAGACGGCCCGGCCCACTGCGAGGCGCTGCTGCCGGGGTCCCGGTCCTGGCTCCCTGAGCCGGGGAAGAGGTGGGGCCGGACCGGTGCTGCCCACTCCGGCTCCGCTGACTTCCCGCTCCGCTGACTTCCCGCTCCGCGGCACGCGGGGTCGTTCCGAGGCGCGAGGACCGCAGCGCTGCTGGCTCAGAGGCGCGGGCAGCGGAAGGGGCTTCCTCCTGGCCCCTCTTTCTTCCCTCAGATCCGCCTTCGGGAGCCTCCGCCCGTCCTCCGGGAAGAGCGCCGCCGGCGGACATGGCTGCTGCACGGAGGGGAGCGAGGCCTCAGGTGAGCTCACTGCACCCCGGGCCGTGGCGGCAGCCATGCGTGTCGGGCCTGCCCAGCCCGCGCCAGCGTTCCGAGCCCCAGCCTTTTGCCCTTGGAGGAGTCGGTCCGCCTGGTGCACGGGGGGTCCTGTAGGGCGTGCTTGCCTCCTCTCCCGAATCCGCGTCTAGACTCTCTTTTCCTAGTAGACAGCCCTTTGTTCATTAACCTCGAGTCGCTGTGTGATCGCTAACTCGACGGCTAAGATGCCATGTGTCTTCTGTTACCCGGGGACATGTGCACTTGGCAGAACTCCTTCCTCCCGCCTCCCTGTCTTGCCCTTGTCTCCTTCCCTCCCCACTTCCCTGCCCTTGGCAAGAATGCTTGTCTTTTCTTTTTCTTTGCTCCCCCGCGAATCCTCCTGACACCTTCCCCAGGCATCTCCACTCCCCAGGCGTCTCCAGCCCATAGTTTTCCGTTTTTTCTGCCTCTTAACTTTGTGGATCGGGTGCCTTGCTCTCCCACTCTCGCGAAAAGCCTTCTCGACCTGCCGTCTCCATCTTCGTGTCGTGGGGTTGGGGATGGGGATGGGGATGCCCCCCCCCCCCCCCCCCCCGTGAACAAAGCGGAGCCGGGCGGGAGGGGACCCAGTGGGAGAGGTCTCTGGACTCCCAGGCAGAGAGAAGCCCCTCGGGCAGCGGCAGGGAGGTCCGTGGGGTCCGGGTGGTGGAGAGGCCGTGTGCACAGTGGTGAGGAGGTGGGGCTCAGAGACAGGGTGTGAACCCATCTCCTCTGTTGCCGTTTGTGGGCTTTGGACATGTAACTCCACCTCTCCATGCCTCAGTTTCCTCACCTGTCAAATGGGAGTAAGAGCAGTGCCTACCTCATAGGGTTGGGAGAGCATCAGTGAGTTGGTTCTTGAGAGTGTTAGATGGGGCCGGGCAGATGGTAGATGTTCGTGTGTGGCGCCTGTGGTAGCGGAGTCATATTATTCCAGTAGTAATACTGTTAACGTTGATAGCCAGAAGCTGCTGTGCAGTGTTTCTAGGACCCAGAAAATCCTCCTCCTTTCCTTACTGATCCTCATGTAACAGGAACAGCATCACCTTTGTTCTTGCTCTCATAACAGTTATTAGCCTCATTTTACATATGGGGAAACTGAGGCTCAAAGAAATTAACCTGAATTCAGGCTCAGGGTGTTTGGCCTCCAGGTTCAGGCTTGGGGTATGGTCCGGCCATGCCTCCGGTGCACCTTTCAGAAGCAGGGCAGACCCAGCCCTGTGGTGCCCGAGCTCTTCTGCACTGTGGGCAGCTTTTGGGGAGAGTGCGGTAGGGTTTGTCTCCTGAGGCATGAGCCTGCCACTGCCAGTCTGGGCTGATCTTTTCTAAGGCTTTCCTTTCCATGCCAGCTGAGCCAGCTTGCTCTCTTGCCCAGAATCTTCTCCATCCCTGGGTGTGACTGGATCCCCTATGGCATCCTCCCCAACCTTGCTGCTGCCCGTGTGGCAGGACCACGTGGACTCGTGTGTAACACTCAGTGACAGGACCTTTCAGACCAGAGACAGACTATACCGAGTGCTGGGTTAAAAGGAACCTTTAATTACTGTCCTGCCTCTGCCACTAGGAGAGTATGTGACCCGGGTCTTGACTGCCCTGGACCCTGTGTTTCTATCTCAAATGAAGACTGAACTGGGAGATGGTGTATGGTCCTGTCCAGCTACGTCTTTCTCTTTCATTGTTCAAGTCATTTCCTGCACTTCTCTTGCCTGCCACTTGGATTGTAAATTCTTTGAGAGCAAAGGTCATTTCTTGCATTCCTTCCCAATATGCAAGTAATTTAATGCTTTTTCTTACCATAAAAATATTGCATGATCATCGTAAAAATTTTAGAGAATAAAATTTGCACCTATATGTATATGTATACGTGTGTGTACGTGTATATATGTATGTGCGTAGATGTGTTTATGTGTGTGTATATATAGTTGTGTCTATGTACGTGTATTTGTGGGTATATGTTTTTCGTGTATACAAAAGAAAGTAAAGTTGCCCTTAACCCCACCATCTGGAGGTAATCACTGTCAGTCATTTGTTGTGCATCCCTCAACATCATTTTCTACGTACATATATAGTTATTTTCAAAAATGGGAGCAAGCTATACACACTGATCTATAACCTTCCTTTCCTATTTAATATCGTGGCTGTATTTTTAAGTCAACAAATGTGGACTTAGTACTGTCAATTTTAATGATTTCCCAGCATTTTATATTGATTTGATGACAGCTGACATCTGAACCTTTAAAATGAGCCAGACACGGGGTTAAGTCCCTTGAATGGATCGTCTTGTTTGTTCGTTGACTCTCTTTGGGAGGTTGCAAGAGGCCGCTTTGCAGAGTGATTCAGAGTGGAGACTGGGACCTCCCCGGATCCGAGTCCCAGCTCTACTGCTGACCAGCTGTGCGACTTTAGACAAATTTCTTATCCTGTCTGTGACTTTGTTTTCTCTTGTGTAAAATGGGGACAAGAATAGTGCCTTCTTCTTAGGGTTGTTGTGAATTTTAAGTGAAGATTATATTGCAGATTAACATAAAACTCCAAGAACAGTACCTGACCCATAGAAAGCGTTCAATGAAAGGGAGCTGTTTCAGTCTTTCGTTACTGCTGTCCTCAGGCTTCCGTGAGCACACACATAGTCCCTTAAGTCATTTAACCTAGTCTCCATCATCAGCGATTATTTAGGTTTTCGGGTTTTTTGCTATCACTAACCCCACGATAAATGTCCTATGTGTGCATTTTTGTGCACTGTTTGTTATAATCCAAATATAGTAATTGGTGAGTTAACAAATATTAGTTTAAAACCGTTTATAGCCTTTAATATGTATTATTGAAGCACCATCAGAACCATTATTCTAATGGACACTCCCACTGATGGCCTTCGTTCCTCCGCACATCTCTTATTGTGGTTGACACAGAGCCTGGTTCATGCTTCCTGATGCTCAGTATCCATTTGTCATTGGTCGACTATTCACTAAACAGATGATCTGGAACCTTCAGAACCTGGAATAATAGGAGCAGCATTTCATGGTAGCCCGTCTGCCTCCCCACGCCACCTTCCTCAGTGTGTGATGGGTGGTCCTGGGTGAGATGGGATGGCTTGTCATTATAGGTGTCGGTGACGTTTGAGGATGTGGCTGTGCTCTTTACGCGGGATGAGTGGAGAAAGCTGAGTCCTTCTCAGAGGAGCTTGTACCAGGATGTGATGCTGGAGAATTACAGTAACCTGGTCTCATTGGGTAAGGAAATCGTCCCTGTAGAGAAGGAATTCAGAAATTGGGATAACCGGGAACCTGCTTCTCCGTTAAAAATCGTGGGTCATCAGAAACTTTAGCTGAGCTTTGCCTCAGGCTTGTACAGATTGGGTCTCCATGAATAAATATGAAACCTTTTTCTCCCCTTATGGGCGTGGAATACCCCATGCATGGGGCAGTCTGCACAGCTGCACGTTAGAAGTCCCTCGTTGTTCAGGCTACATTTTCCTACTCTGATTGTTCTGTGATTTGTTTGCTCATCTCTCAGCAGAGAGCTGCCCTCTGCCCTCTTCATTGACCTTCTGCTTGCCTCCCCAATTCATAAATCAGAATAACGTAGCACCCACTTCTCTAGATGAAAGCTGTGGATCATCTAATAAACTTGCCCTGAGTTTTGCTGTGCGATTGTCCTTACAGGATCTCCACAAATAAGTATTAAAAATATATTCCCCTCATAGGCATGGAGCTGCCCCGGGTATGGGAATGGAGGAGGTGGTGCCAGTAATCAGCCACTTACCTCGGTATAAGTGCACATTGGAAGCGTCTTCACGGTTCAGGCATCATTTCCCACAGTGATTGTTCTGGGGTTTGTGTGCACAGCTCTCAGCAGAGGACTTTGTTCAACCTCTGGACCTACCACTTGCCTTTCCTGCTTGACTTTTGCGGGGGTCAGCATGCTTTTGCTATGAAGGGCCAGGTAGTAAATATTTTAGGCTTTGCAGGCCACATATGGTCTCTGTAACATATTCCATTTCTTTTTTTTTTAACCATTCTTTTCTCAAGGGCCGTACGTAAACAGACGGTGGCCTAGATTTGTCCTATGAGCTGTAGTTTGCTTAAGACTGCCATCTTTGAAAGGGAGTCAGACAGTGTTTTCTTATTTTAACCAAGCTGCTTGGCACAGAATACCTTGATACATAGCTTTTTACAAATTTTAATTCAGTCTGTGCACCTAACATCTTCCATCTGATACAGAAAGCCAGTGGTACCCTCCTAATGAAGGCTGCGTGTTTATCACGGTTCCCTCACCTACAACTAGTTATTACGTCGTCATGTCCTGGGAGTCCCTTGCATTGTCCCGAGCACACCCCTCACATCGTGGGGGCACAGCTGCAGCACCCCACAGGAGCCCTTTGCCCCATCCCCTGAGTTTTCCACTCAGATCTGGGCTACCTCTTTGTGTGGAAACAAAACAAAGTCTTTTTTTTTTTTTTGTCTGTGAGCAGGACTCCCATTTTCCAAACCCAAAGTGATCTCCCTGTTGCAGCGAGGAGAAGATCCCTGGAAGGTGGAGAGAGAAAGTTCTGGAGGCTGCTCCGCAGGTGAGTGGGCGGCGAGTGGGCAGCTCAGGTGCCCAGGAATGGCTGCAGGCAGCAGGCTGGTTGGCAGGCGGACGGCGTGGGGCAGGAATGTTCTCCGGGGCTCAGTCCCCAAGAAGTGCCAAAGGGGACGCGCAGGCCCCCACATGAGCTTCCTCTTTTTCTCTGGTGATCGCTCCACAAATGAATCTCCGTCTCTTTCCTCCTCTCTCCTGTTGCGTCAGAAGAGGGCTACGTTTCCACGTCTTCGTTCACAAACGTGGTGCAGTTATGGAGCTGCGGGTCGGTCATTCTGCCTGAAGCTCAGTGTATGTGGGACAGAGGAGGCGCCAGAGGAGGGGTGTTAGAGAGCTGGGGGGGCCACGCTGTAACTTGCTTTGGTGCACTTCTCGAGATGTGAATGTCCCCTCGATGACTGCAGACAGTTAAAGGATTTTAAGCAAAAGAACGTTACGGTCCTTGATATTTTGGAAAGGTTGGTCTGAATCAGACACAGCACAGACATTCTCCACTAAAGGCATAGCTAAAGAAGCCGTGGCATGTCCCTCTGGTGAACAGCGCCACAGTCAGGTAGAGGGCGCAGTGAGGTGGCCCGAGCCCAGGGTGCGGGAAGGATGAAAGCAGGCTGCGCAACACTGCTAAGATGCATCACCGTATGTGTGTAAAGAAAACTGTGTGGGTGTTTGTCTGATGTAAAATGCGCGTGTAAGGGCAGAGAGCAGGGCTGGGGGGCACCCCTTAGCTGGCTCCATTTGGAACGTGACTGAGAATGGGCATGAGGAGAGGGCACTTTATCTCACGTAATGTTTGGATTTCTCGTAGAGCGTATATTCATGAAGTCCTTGTGTAGTTTGACTTTAATAAAAATGGTCACTTTAGAAGCGTTGGCGGGCTTAGATTTAAAGTGAGGCAAAATTAGGAGTGGGAACCTTCCGGAGGTTAATGCATAATGTAGGCAAGACGTTACTGGGGCCCAGACGTGGGGTTCACGAGGGAAGAGGAGGGGCCCTTTGAGGGTGCAGGATGAGTTCGGCGTGGGATGGGTTCATCTGAGATGTAAGTGGAACCCTCGAGTAGAGATCGCCAGTGGACACTTGTATGAGGTGTGGGGTGCTGGAACTCGAAAGGAAGGTCAGGAAGCCATGGTGCAAAGGTGGCATTGAAGATGCCTTGCGATGACCAGGAGAGGGGACAGGGCAGAGGACGGAGTCCCAGGAAACCTCAACTTTTACGAGGTGGGTTAAAGAAGAGTGTGTGGCTGAGCCTGAGAAGGTCATCGGAGGAGAGAAACGGGAGAGGCGGCTGTCTTGGAAGTTGGGGATGGAGAGCTGTTGAACTGGGGAGGCTTGGGCCCTGGAGGAGCCAGGTTCCAGCCCTGCCACTGCGCTCCTGTCCTGTGATAAGCAGAGAGTGAGTTCCATGCTGGGCACTGGCGGTGCAGCAGTGACGGATAGACGCAGGACCTGCCCTGGTGGAGCCCAGTCAGGTGGGGAGACAGCCTCCTGAACTGAGCGCACGAGGGTGTGGAATGACAGGGTCCCGTCAGGACCTGGAAGGAAAGAGACGCAGTGCAGAGACCGCGTGGAACAGGAGGGGGTGGTGCTGGCAAAGGCTTCCTGATGAAGGGCCGGACCCCAGGATGTGGAGTGTTCCAGGCATCGGAAAGGGCCTATGTGCGAGTCCAGAGAAAGGAAGCCAGCGTGTGCAGATGGGAGCGGGAAGAGCAGAGAAGAGTCAGCAGGAAAGGAGCAGGGACCAGATCCCACTGGGCCCGGGGAGCCCCGTCACAGGGTCTGGTCTGTGCCTGAGAGCCAGGCAAGCCCTGAGGAGCTGGGAGGAGCTGCAGCCCCAGGGTTACATTCTGCCAAGGTCAGCCTGCGGCCAGCAAGGAGCCCGTTGGTGCGACATGGGGGGACTTGTCTGAGGCTGGGACAGGTCCAGACAGTCAGTCCACCGCCCTCACCTCGTGGGCCCAGCAGAGGAGCTGCGGGCCAGGCTGCCTCAATGCTCCAGCCCCACGCCAGGGGGAGATCTCCTCCTGCTGTAAGTTGAGGTTTTTGATGTGGGAACCACACTTGTCTATCTATCATTTCAACTCTCATTTGGGAGAAATAGACTAATTTTGTGGATACTGGCAGACGCCACCCCAAAGTAAGCAGAGAGTGCAGGCAGCAGGGAACAGCTGCGAGTTGGGAGGGGTGTCAGTCCTGCTTTTTAGGGTGGGCGAGTCTGGCCTGAAAGCTCAGGGGCAGAGAAGAAAGGACCCTCTCCCCTCCCCGGGAGCCTCTCATCCGTGAGTGAGTCTCCCGTCCTGAGTGAAGTGGGTGTTGTTGGCTTAAACAGAATAGACGGTCTGGCTGGAGGCCAAAGCTGTCCAGGGAGGTGCTGGGACCACCTGGCGATGGGGTCGCCGTCCTCAGTTAGCCCCTGCTCGGGTTTGCCAAGACGCCCCTAAAGGCAAACTGTGGGTGGGTGTCTGAAGGGGTCAGGGCGTCCGAGCCGGCCAGTGCGTGTTCCTCTCAGTGGGTGAACCTCCTCTGTTCCCTCAAGATGAGAGCAGACAGGACATCCTGGGAGTGTGGGCGTGTGGCTATGTCTTTCCCGCACCCCTGACGAGTCTCCATCGGCCTGGACTAAAGTGGCCTCAGAACGGCTCCCCCGGGGAAGGCAGCACTTCCCTGCGGGCACAGGTGAAGGATCTGGACGCTCCTGGACGCACCCCCGATTGTTAACTCTAGAGCAGAGCCGAAGCCTTCCCTTTGAACAGCCAGGGACAGGAAAGCGCGCGCTCCACCAGAGGACTCCTCCCACCTCTGGATGCCTCCAAATGTTCTTTAAAAAAGTTTTCTTCCCTTCGAAACTGTTCACAAGTAGGAAAAACAAAACAAACCGGAAAGACAGTCGTGTCCTCCCTGAGTGCGGATGTTCCAGTTGAGAGGTGAGAGGCGCTGACCCCAAGGGTGTGCGTCTCATCTGAGTCTTGCTTAAGAAATGAGCCCCGAGTATACTCACGGAGGCCATGCTTTTCTGGAAGAGTTAGGATGAGAATGATGTGAGTAAACCAACTTGTGCGTCTCGTGAGTTGGGTTTACACCCAAATGTGGAAATATTCTTGAAATCTGAAATTCAGAAATCCAGAGATGATCTGGGTAAACCGTTACCTCCAGTGAAACCGTGCTTGTCTTTCCTTGTCTTTTTCTCTTCCTTTGCTGTCTTTATGTGAGAAACCGAGTCGAGCGGACTGAACTGTGCAGGGTGGTCAGCTGAGGGTCGCTCGGGCCGCCTTCCACTCCCGGGACTTGCTGGCGCTCCTGCAGGGAAGGCCGGGTTTTCCAGTCGCACAAAGTGCTGGCGGGGTCGCAGTCTATGGCAGTAGGTGCGGTGGTTTGAGAGAGTGAATTTCTCACAAGGTGAAAGTGGAGCCCACGTGCTCCGTAGCCCAGTCTAATATGTGTGAGTTAGCCTGTCCTTGCCCCCTGCCCTCCCCAACAAAGACCCCCACATGCCCCTGCACCTCCCATCCTGCCGCCGACATCTGTTCTCCCTGTAGCTGCCAGAATGACCTACAGTCACACATGCTTAACGACAGGGGTAAGTTCTCAGATGTGTCATTAGCTGATTTTGTCATTGTGCACACATCATGGAGGTCACTTACACAAACCTAGACCATGTAGCCTACTACACGCCTGGGCTCTATGGTACTGTTCTTACGGGACCTATGCGGTCCGTCGTTGACTGACATCATTGTGTGGCACATGAACGTATCTAAAAGGCAAATCAGGCCGACTCACTCCCTTGCTCACAACCTCTGGTGGCTTCCGTCACCTAGAGCACAATCCAGAGTGGCCTGAGAGGCCTGCATGGTCTGGCCCCAGCTACCCTTTCCCCTCCTTGCACTCTGCCCTTCATTCGAGGACTCTGCTCACCCTGGCCTCCTTGCACTTGTGCCACGGGCCAAGCAGGGTCCGCCTCAGGGCCTCTGTACTTGCTTTTCCTCTCCTGGAGTGTTCTTCTGCCTCATGGCCGGAGCCCACATGTCCCACTCCCGGGTCACACAGCTCATGTAAGACACAACCTCCATCCCCCATGTCCTTGATGCCCTCCCCGTGCTTCCTCTTCCTCTGAGTGCTTAGCACTGCATGGTGGTACCTGTTTACTTACTATCTGTGTCTTCCTCTCGATTGTAAACTCCCTTATGCTGGGTTGTCTGTTTCATTTGTCCCCATTTCCCCAGTGCCTTGTCAGAGTAGGCCTTCGGTGAGTGAATGCCTGAAGGGCTTGGCTAGGTTGTGCTCTTGGAGACAGACAGAAGTGGACCAGCTTCAAGGCTATTTGGGGGATAAAGCAGTGGGACTTGGAGATGGATTAGATACAGAAGGTAAAGGAAATGGAGGTGTCAGAGATGCTTGCTTGGTTTGTGGCTTGTTCTGGGATGGACAGTGATATTCACAGAGATAGTGGCACTGGGAGGAGATCAGATTTGGGGGATGGCGTAAATTTGGTTTTTTACTTTGAGGGGAAATTTTACTTGTTTAAAAAAGTTTTTTATTTTGAGATCATTGTAGATTCACATGCAATTATAAGAAATAGAACAGAGAGATTTCATGTCCCTTTACCTAGTTCCAAAACTATAGTACAACATTACAACCAAATTATTGATGTTGATACAGTAAAGAGACAGAAGAATTCCTTCAGTCACCATAAGGATCCCCTCTCGTCACCCATTGTTTAGACATACCCACTTCCATCTTATTACCTGTCCCTGTCCCCCGCCTCCCCTTGTCCTTAACCCCTGGTAACCACTAATCCATTTCTACAATTTTGTCATTTTAAGGATGTCATATAAATGGAATTATACAGTGTGTAACCTTTTGGGAATGGTTTTTTTCTTTCATCATAGATCTCTGGAAGTTTATCCAAGTAGTTGTGTGTATCACTATTTCCTTCTTTTGACTGCTGAGTGGTATTCCATGAAATGGATA